GCTGTAATGGAATGTTTCTTCTAATCATGTGGTTATTAAATAAAAATTTAAAAAAGAAATTAAAAAAATAAAGGAATAAAAAAGATAAGCTGGGCATGGTGCCCATATCCCCCACACTTGGAAAGCTGAGGCAGGAAGCCTGAAGCCAGTCTGTTCTACCTTGTGGGTTGCAGGCCAGCCAGGCTTCAGAGAGAGACCCCGCCTCCAGAAAACACAAAGGAAAGAGAAAAAATCTTTGCCACAGTTCTAGAGTATGTTGCTCAACAGCAATGAAAATGAACAAAGCAATACTGACTAAGCTCATTCACATAATATTGAGGCAAAGAAGTCAAATGAAGTAAAATACATGGAAAATAATGTGAAACTCATGTCAGGCTTGAAGTCAACAGTTCCGTACATAAAACACGAGAAAAGTAAAATTAATAGATATTTTTTTCTTTTTGAGACAGCGTCTCCCTGTGGCCCCAGCTGGAACTTGCTAAGTAGATCAGGCCTTGATCTCTCAGAGATCTACCTGCCTCTGCCTCTAGAGTGCTGGGATGAAAGGCTTGCACCACCACACTTAAGATTTTTTTTTTTTAATGAGTATGTGTGTCTGTGTGAGTATATGTACATGTGTGTGTCGGGGGATGCCTATGGAGGCCAGAAGGAGGGCTTCAGGTCCCTGGAGCTGGAGTTAAATGTGGTTATGAGCCACCTGATGTGGTTGCCGGGGACCAAATTGGATCTGCTGGAAGAGTAGCAAGTGCACTTACCTGCTGAGCCATCTCTCCAGCCTTGAGATGAAGTAAATAATAAGATTGATAATGACTTTAATGAATTCATTTTAATTCAATGTTGGCTGTACACAAGGGAACTTTAAAAAATAAAACTGATTCCCACACCCTAATTTTATATGTTGAAGCCTGGACATCGGCACTTTAAAAGACCCAGGCTGTAGAGACAGCCCAGCAGTTAAGAGAACTGGCTACTCTTGCAGAGGACCTGGTTTTGGTTCCTAGCCCCCACATAGTGGGTAACAATTGTCCATAACTCCAGTTCCCAGGTCCCCAACACCCTCAGCAGACATTGCATGCATGTGGTGCACATACATACACACAGGCAAAACATACATATCATTTTTGTTTTTGGTCTTTTTTGAGACAGGGTCTCCCTGTAGCCCCAGGTGTCCTGGAACTTACTATGCAGACCAGGCTGGCCTTGAACTCACAGAGATCCTCCTGCCTCTGCTTCCTGAGTGCTGGGATTAAAGGCATGTGCCTCCACGCCTGGCAATTTTTTTTTTTTTTAAAGATCCACATCTCAAACCCACTAGGATGGCTACTGTTAAAGCAAACCAGAAACAGAAAATGACTGTTGGCAAAAATGTAGGGAAAGCAGAACGTTTATGCACTATTGCCGGAACTATAAAATGAAAGAGTTACTGTGAAAAACAGAATAGGACTCTTCAAAAAATGAGAAATATAGGGCAGGGGTACAGCTTGGTGGCAGAGTGCTGGTCTAGTATGAGGGGCTTTGGGGTTGGTTTGATCCCTAGTACCAAACAAAGACCCCGGATTTAAAAAAGATACAACTGCCACATGATGTAACAATTCTACATCTGCACTCTGGTTATATCTATCCAAAGCAGAGTCTTGAAATATTTGCGTGTCTCTGCTCATAACAGCCCTCTCCACAGGAGTTCATGAAGCATTGGGCACAGTCGCCCAAAGGTGGAAACAGGCTGTGTGACTCTGATGGATAAATGCAAGCAAAAACGCAGTGTCCACAATGGAATGCCACTCAGCTTTACAAAGGAAGGGGATGGAGGCTGGGGCCATATGTAGCTCAGCAGTAGAACCCTTGCCTGGCGTGAACACTGCCCCAAGTTCAATCACAGAACCACAAAATGGGGTGGGGGAACTAGAGAAGTTGGCATACTCCTGTAATCCCAAGGAAGGAGAGGGAGGGAAAGAAAATCCTACACATACTGTAAACATGGATGAACCTTAAGGATTTTGAACCAAGTAAAATAAACCTCTCATAAAAAAGATAAATACTGGGTGGGCAGCTAAAGGCTTTTGCTGCCAGATCTGACAACATGGAGTCCATGTGGAACACACAAGAAAACTGACTCCAAAAAGTCATCCTCTGACTTCCATGCATACTCTGTGGCACATGCATGTCCCCAGCCCCTGAAACATACAAATAAATAAATAAATATAAAAAACTTTAAAAAATAAATACTTCATGATTCCTTGTATAACATATTTAGAGTAGTCAAATTCATAGAGGCAGAGAAGAGAGTTGTGCCTGGTGGGGCAAGTTTGTAATCCCAGCTACTCCAGAGATCAATGCAGGAAATTCAAAAGTTCAAGGACAGCCTGGGAAACTTAGTAAGACCTTGTTTCCACACCAGTAACAACAACAACAGAAACAAAAAAGTTAAACATAGGAAGGCCTCACACATGCTAGGTAAATGCCACTGAAATAGAACCCTAGCCCTCTTTCCTTTTGGGGACAGGATCTCACTAATTTGCCCAGACTGTACTGGAACTTGCTCTCTAGTCCAGATAGGACTTGAATTTACAATCCTGCTTCAGACTCTCAAATAGCTGAGATTGCAGGCCTGTGTCATCAGGCCCTGCCTGGGGGTGGGGGGTGGGGGGGTGAAGTTTGTTTAATGGATATAGAATTTCAGTTTTGTAAGATGAAGACATTTTAGAGACTGGTTTTAGAAAAAAAAATGAACATAAGCAGTAGCATTGAACTACAGGCTTAAAAATGGTGACGATCATAAATTTGTTATGGATGGAAGCAGAAATGAAATATAAAGGATTAGTAAGTAATTGCTAACAATGATATACTGACTTCGTTTCAACCCAGATTTTAAAAGTGAACAGTTTGGCAGCCACATCTCTCATTTTGCTGACTGACTTGAGGTGCTGTGTGCCTATCTTAGCATTTTACTCCTTATCCAGAAAGCATAATGCTGTCCAGGTACACTGTCCTGAACTACTGGTGATGTAACACCAGTCATTATTTTAGATGTAACAATATACAACAAAGAACAGCATTTTAACACTTGGCGTTTCTCTTTCTAATACATATGCTTTCCATTTACATACATATTTTTAAATTTTATTTTAAGTGTATGAGTGCTTTGTGTGCATGTATGTAAGTATACCCATATGTGCAATTGCTGCAGAGGCCAGAAGGGGACATCAGATCCCCAGGAACGGGAGTTATAGATGATTGTTAGTCACCACGTGGGTACTGGGAATTGAACCCAGGTCCTCTACAAGAGCAGCCAATGCTCTTAACCACTGAGCCATCTCTCCAGCCCTACATATTTTTATTTTATTCATTACTTTTTTTGGTGTTAAAGCTTGAAACCAGGGCTTTGCCTGTGTCCATGCTCTGCCACTGAATAGATCTCCCATTCCCTATGGAGTTTTATTTTTATTGAATTTTTATGGTTTTTCATACAATATAATTTGATGGAACTTAGATCCCCTCCCCTATCAACACCTCCCCTTACTGCCCCCTGCCCAATTTAATGTACTGTATTTTATATACAATAAGGCCTATAGAGTCTAATTTGTGTCCCCAAATGTTCTTCAGTGTCGGTCCATCCACTGGAGCCTGGTTAACCTACCAAGAGTTCCATCCTTGAAAGACTGTCTCTCCCCTTCCCAACAGCAATAAGTTATCAAGATTTCCTTATGTTGAGTTGTGGCCTCTTACCTACTTCCCTCTGTCTATGCTGGGATTTTTTCTGGTTTGAGCTTACATGGGACTTATATATGCTGTCGCCATTGCTATGAGTTCATATGAGTAACTTCCTAGCTGTCTGGAAAACTCTGTTTCCGTGTAGGTCATCCACCACCTCTGGCTTTTACAATCTTTCTGCCCCTTCTTCCACAATGATTCCTGAGCCTTGGGAGGCAGAAGTTTGATATAGGTGTCCTATTCAGGGATAAGCACTCTATAGCCTCTTGTTCTCTGCACATTGACTTATTTTTTAAAGACATTTTAGTATGAATGCGTGCACACACCATGGAGCATCTGTGGAGATCAGAGGACAACTTTCAGAAGTCATTTCATTCCTATCATGTGGGACTTGGGGATTGAACTCTGGTCATTAGGCTTGACAGCAAGTGCTTTTACTTGCTCAGGTTAGACTTGGCAACAAGCACCTTTACCTGCTGAACAATTTTGCCAACCAGTGCTTTTGATGTCTATTTATTTAGTGTGAGCATGTGTGTGCGCATGCTTGTGCATTTATGCAGAAGTCGGAGAACAACTTGTGGGAGTTGGTGAATTGAAGTTTAAAACAAACTATTTAAATTAACCAGAAAATGCTTTATTTTGCTCCCTTTGTTCAAATAACAGGTGCAGGATACCTATGCGGTAGTGCTATGTTTAACATTCCTTACTGCTCCTTTTTATTAGGAATTTTCAGGCTTTTCCTGATAAGACCTCATTTGTGTTTTTGAAAAACATAAAGAAATTCTGTGATGTGTGGAAATAATTTAAACCACCTAAGACTAAGGCATATATAGTGAAACGATTTATACTAATATAAATAAGGTCAGTGTTTGTGAAAAAGTTGTCATTTGGCTTTCCTTTTCTGTCCTAAAATGTATTTTAAAATACAGTATCTTAGCTTTGTATGCTGGTTGTATGCCTGTACTCTTAATACCCTGGAGGCTGAGGCAGGAGAATCTCAAGTTTGAGGCTGGCTTGAACTACATACATAGATTTGAGACCCTGTCTCAAAAACAACAGCAGCGACAACCAAAAGCCAGGCATGGTTTTGTAGTACATAGTGAGTTCCAGACCAGCCTCAGAAACATAGTGAGACCTTGTCTCAAAACCCCAGAAAATAAACAACAAGACTTTCTCTTCAGTAAACTTTTTTGGTTCTCAAAAACAATTTATAAGGCACTCCATTTCTTATTTTTCAGGACATGTACTTGTAGACAACATTAGAGTACCAGGATTTGAAGTGGTAAAGAATGTCTCTTCCAACTCGACAAACAGCTATTGTCAACCCTCCTCCACCAGAATACATAAACACTAAGAAAAATGGGCGAGTGACAAATCAGCTGCAGTACCTGCAGAGAGTTGTCCTGACGGCTTTATGGAAGCATAATTTTTCATGGCCTTTTCAACAGCCTGTGGATGCTGTGAAACTAAAGTTGCCTGTAAGTATAACATGTTAAATTTAAATTATTTTATTTTAGTTCTTAGCTTTTATTTTATTCATTGTGTGTGTGTGTGTGTGTGTGTGTGTACATGTGTGCCACAGTGAGTGTGTGGAGGTCACAAGACAACTTCCTGGAGACCCTCCATCTAGGGAGGGAACTCATGTTGTCAGACCCACAAAATAGTACTTGTACTGGCTGAGCCATCTCACCAGCCCAGATTCTAGGTGCTAGAAATCTAAACAGGAGAGGAACTTTCTACAAGTCATGAGGATAAGCAGAAGCAATGGATCAGAAAGAGGCAGATGGGCTCATGATTCAGCGGTTAAGAGCACTGACTGCTCTTGCAAAGGACCTGGGTTCGGTTCCCAGCACCCACACAGCAGCTAACAGCCATCCTTAACTCCAGTTCCAGGGGATCTGATACCCTCTTCTGGCCTCTACAGGCACTGTGTTCTCAATGCACTAATACACAGGTAGGCAAAACACCCATACACATAAAGATAAATAAATAAATAAACTTTTAAAAATTGAGAGGTAGACTCAGAAACTAATATCAAGATATGGTCTGTAGAAATTTTGGATTGTATTTTTGCATAAACTACCTTCCCAAGAAAGCATAAGATGAAATGTGTGGAGGAGAGAATTGTCACTAAGCAGCTTAACAGCCATAACTCAGGTCCCGCGCCTACCATGGCCAGAATCCTTTCCCTGGCCTAGCTGCGTGGGGTCTCATGTGGGAGGAGGATGGTAGATGCTCCTTCTCCTGCAGGTAACCTGATCACTTTTCTATGATGGAAACTTCTAGCCCCATTCAAACCCCTCTCTGAGCCTGGGAAATCCAGGTTGTAATTACTTCTATTTATAGGCAAGCTTTGAGAGGAAGCATTTTAAATTTTTTGTATATTTTTATTGAATTTTTGTTTATCTAATACACAACTTCTTAATCATCTTTATACCCCCTCCCCCATCCACACCCTCTCATAGCCCCCACCACCACCAGATTTCATGCATTCTGTTGTTTATATTAAGGCCTATTGAGTTGAGCCAGTGTTCCCGAACATCCCTCAGTGCAAGTTCATCCACTGGGGTCTAATCAGCCTATCTAGAGTCACTCCTTAAAGAAGATCAACTCCCCCTAACCTAGCAGTAATCAGCTACCAATAGTTCTTCAGCTAAGATTGGAGCCTGCTACCCATTTCCACAGTTCTATGCTGTGTTTTTGTCTGCTTGCATAGGTCTTGTGCATACTGACACCATTGCTGTAGATTCATATGAGCAAGGTATAAGCCTATAAGCCTCTGTTTCCATATAGTCATGCACCTCCTCCCCTGGCTCTTAAATCTTTCTGCCCCCTCTTCTACAATGGTTCCTGAACCCTGGGTGGTGAAGCTTAACGTATGAGTCCTGTTCAAGTACCACACTCTGCAGATTCCTGTTCTCTATGCTTTGGTTATTTGTGACTTTTTGTGTTCATTGCCTTCTGTTGCATGAGGGAGCTTCATTGATGAGAGTTGAGAGGTGCATTAGTGTTCTCTCTATCCTTTGTTCCAGGATGTTCTGTGATCCTTAGGTATAGAGGTTCCACTGTAGATGTATCACTTAGAGTTGGGCATCTCACAGACACTTATTCTCTGTGTGTGACCACACATTTCAAAGACACTTACTCTCAGTGTGTGACTGTAATAGTCTCCATCTGTTGCAAAAGAAGCTTTTTCAATGAGTGGTGACTGGCGTACCTGTCTGTAAATATAAGGATCCATATTTAGTGCATAATAAGAAATTATGTTTGTCTAGGGATGTGACAGCCTTAGGGTTTTCTCTAAGATTTATGACCTCTCCAGCCTTGTGTATTTAGCTATGTTTACAGTACCACACATGAGTTCCCTCCTATTGAATAACCTATAAGTCCAATTAGGTAGTTGTTGATTACTCCCAAGATAAAAGTGCCACTACTGCTCCAATGTAGTTTGCTGTGCCAGTCATGGTTGTGGTTATTAGGCCATAAAGCTGGGGTTGGACCATTGACTGATGTTCTTCCTTAACAGCTTGCATAGTATCCTCTAAAACTATGAGAACTAGTCTTCAAGAAGAAGGTGTCCAGGTCATTTCCAGCTCCATTGCTCCAAGTCCTGTGTCCAAAGCATGTCCTATCTTCAGCAATAGGGTCTTACTTTCAAATTCTAGGAGGTAAAATCAAGGGCTGTGGCAATAGCCTGTGCAGTTTGGGGAGTCTCTTGGACTACCCTGGCCAACAACTTGAAGGGAAGTTTCTCCTGTCTGGCACTGCTTCTTGTTATATAGCCTTTAGCTATACACATGGGCTCATGTAGAGATACTGTATGTGTAATTTTTCAGTAGACTTTGGAAGTAATACATTTTCCACTTTTTTTCACAACACTAAGCATTATCTCTCCTCTCCTTGTCTAACTCTCCCTCCTCCCTCCCCAGTTAAAGTACCTCCATTTTCTCCATTTCACCCTTGCTAATACCTGTCTCTTATGGTCCACAGTTTTAAAAAGTGTTTGTGTATGTGTGTCTGTCTGTATGTCTGTCTGTGTGTCTGTATTGAGGACTGAACCTAAGGTCTCAAACATACTAGGCAAGCTGTCCTACAACTTATCTACATCCCCAACCTATTTTTTTTTTTTCATTGATTGGGGCGCTGAGGCTGGAACCCAGGACCTCGTGCATGCTATGCAAGTTCTCTGCCACCGAACTACATTCCAGCTCCTAATACTATTTATGATTTCTCTAAAACTATAGGATTATTACACCATTATAAAAGCCCCAATGGATTTAAAAACAATTAAGAAGCGACTGGAGAATAAATATTATGTGAAGGCTTCAGAATGTATAGAAGACTTCAACACAATGTTCTCAAACTGTTATCTATACAACAAGGTATGTACGCTTGTATTGCACTGCTGAGTCTTCGCTATTATATGTAGAAAAGAGTGGATGACAAATGCTGTGATTTCAGGTTCCAAATCCTGATTTGGGATAACTTCTATATTGCTTTGAACGGGAGGTGCAGCTTGAGACAGGTTTCAATATGTAGCCCAGGCTTGCCTCCAACTTGGGGTCCTCTTAAGGCCTCAGCCTCCAGAGTACTAGGATTATATAGACATGTGTTGTCATACTCGGCATACGTAATTTTTCAGATATGCTGTATTTGCAATATTTTATAATTTTAGTTTATTATTACTGTATGTGTGTATAATGTGGGTGAGGGGAGCACAGGCATACTCGTAGCGTAAGTGCATTTGTAGAGATCAGTAGGTGACTTTCAGAGGTCAGTTTTCTCCTTCCACCATGGGTCCTAGGGATCAAAGTCAGGCCATTAAGCTTATATAGAAAGTGCTTTTACCAAGCCCTGAGCCATCTTACCAGCCCCAGCTTATGTATCTTTTAAGTAAAATATTTTCTTACTAGATTTCATAATTTTCATTTTTCAATCTTTTTGTTCAACTTGTGTTGTTCAACCTATTGGCTCTATTTTTGCCTGAATAGCTGGAATGGCTTATGCTTTTAAAAGATGAAATACCAAAGCCAGATATGGTAGCTCATACCTGTGCTGGTAGCTCAGCACTCCTGTGATGTCTGTACTTGGAAGGCTTAGGCAGGAAGATTTTATGAGTTCAAGGCCAGCTTGGGCTACAGTATGAGACCCTGTCTCAGAAAGAAATAAAAAGAAACACTGGTAGCTGGTTTCTATGATTATGTTCTAATGTGTCCCTCTGCCCTCCTGTTGTTTTAGGTATAAGATGAATAAGCTTGACAGTGCATTAATCTTGATTACATTTCGTGGTACCAATTCCTAGCCATCACCTAAGTAGTGAATAAACTGCCCACTTTGCAGTGCTGGGGTTTGAACCCAATAAAGTTTAGTTTTCCTGTGCTGCTGTCTTAGAAATATTTTCAGCACTAGGCTTCTGCTTTTTAATTTCACTTAGTAGTTTTTTGCTCAGCAATGAGGTAATACAAGAGGAAGACCTGGAAACAGGTAGTGACATTTTCAAACTTAATTAGTCCTAAACTGTCACTTTAATCAAGTTAATGTAAATATCACCACAGATCATAAAGTGCTTTGTTCAGCAAGGACCAGGTTTTGCTTTAACCTATTCAAGGGATAGAGATTAGAATTCCTAATGCCCTTTTATACTCTGGGATTGGTTAGATTTTACTCCTTTGTGTTCAGAAAAGCATTCTGATCCTTACAAGTTGAAGGGGCAGGATGCTAGAATTTCAACTTTGAGCTGCTACACTATTTTCTAAATTTAGAGGCGATAAATCCCTAAGACTACTGTACCACCTTCTATAAAGAAATTCAGTACAATGACCATCCTGTGTATCCTCATGGTATGTTTAATGTGTTTTTTAGCCTGGAGATGACATTGTTCTTATGGCTCAAGCTCTAGAGAAGTTATTTATGCAGAAATTATCTCAAATGCCAAAAGATGAGCAAGTTGTGGTTGGTAAGGAAAGGATAAAGAAAGGTAAGCTGGGAGTAAACCCTTTCTCTCTCTCTCTCTCTCTCTCTCTCTCTCTCAGACAGACATATAGAGGTCTCTTTATATCCAATTATTGTAAAAAAAAATGCCATTTAAACAGTGTCCTACACCTTAATCCTGAGATGGCTGAATATAAGGGTGGTGAAGACTGTGTTGACCATGGCCTTGAAGTCAGGTTTCCTGTCCCATAGTGACATTCATCTGATTGGTACCTAGCCAGTCATAGCGGGTCACATATCTGTGCTCTACAGATAAGATGGCCCATTGCCAAAAGGCCCTATATGTAAGAATGAAATGTTATTATAGGATTATTCAGAGTTATTACAGAGCAGCACTTTTGTGTATGGTATAAAGGCTTGAACACAGATCCTCACATATGCCAGGCAAGCACTCTACCACTGAACTATTCCCCTAGACATTTTTTTGTTGTTGTGCATGTTCATGTGTGCATGTGTGTGCATGTAAATGCACATGGAGGCAGGAGGACAACCCTGGGTTTAGTTCTCCAAGAGCCATCTACCTGCCTTGTTTTGTGAGGTAAGTTCTCTTATTGGAGCATGTAGTGACTAGGCCAGTTGGACACTTAGGCCCAGGGATCTGCCTGTGTCCGCCTCCCAAGTGCTAGAGAGCACATCACAAGCCTGGTTTTCTCACATGGCTTCTGGAGATCTAATTCAGTCTTCATGTTTGTTGGACAAGTACTTTACTGACTAACCCATCTCCCTAGCCGTGTGTGTGTGTGTGTGTGTGTGTCTCCCTGTCTTTGCCTGTGTCTGTGTCTGTAGAGGCCAGAAGTTCATATGCATTTCTCTCAATTGCTCTCCACCTTATTCTTTGAGTCAGGGTCTCAGTGAGCCTGGATCTCACCAATTCTGCTAGACTGCCTGGCCAGCCAGACCCAGGGATCTTCCCATCTCCTTTTCCCGAGTTCTGGGATTACAGGCTCACACTGCTACACTCAGATTTTACATAGATGTGGGGATCATACTCAGGTCCTCATGCTTGCACAGAAAGCACTTTACTGACTGAGCCATCTCCCCAGCTCCTGTTTTATGAGACAGTGTCTTTTATCACTAGCCTAGAGTTCACCAAGTAGGCTAGGCTGACTGGATAGTGAATCCCAGGGATCCACCTGTCTCTGCCTCCCAAGCACTGTGCTTGCAGGCAGGCACGCCATGCTGACCTTTTAAAAGTGGGTTCTGGGGCATGAGCCTAGGTCTTTATTCTTGCCATGATAGGCACTTTGCTGACTGAGCTGCTTATTCCCACTTTCTTAATTTATATTTTGACACTAAGTTGCTCAGGCTGACCTTGAACTTGTAGACCTTCTGTCTCTTCTGGGTAGTTGGGGTTATAGGCCTACACCACCATACCTGGGAATACATACATGTACTGTTATGAAATTAATCTTAGTATTTAATTGGATTTATTATAGAGAATTATGGATCAAATGTTGATTTAATTTTTGGATCACTCAAAATGTTTAATCTTAGTCAAGTTTTTGATCAGTCCATGTTAATATCTTCATCCTAAATAGGAAAAGATTTGTCTTTCATTGTAAATGTTCAATTTATAATTAAGTGGCTGGGACATAGAAGGTTTATAGTGGGTTTGTTGTGGAGATAATTTCTATTAATAGTAATGTGTACTTTTTTCCTTATTACTGATCTTTTTGAGACAGGGTCTCCCTGTAGCCCCAGCTACAGGGACTCACTATGTCCTGGAACTCACTATGTAGACCAGGCTGGCCTTGAACTCACAGAGATCTGCCTGCCTCTGCCTCCCAAGTGCTGGGATTAAAGTCATGTGCCACCACACCTGGCCCTTATTACTGATCTTTAAGATAGTTTGACTTTTAAAGGTTTCCTTGGTCAATCTTGCAAAATACACTGATCATTAAAGTTCTTCCTATTTTGATTTTGGAAGATGTGGACCCTAAGTCTAACAGTATAAGTTGGAGGCTTCTCCATGAGGGTTAAAACAAGCCCTTTCTTGAGATAGAGAAAGCACATAGATGAGTGAGGGGTTTTGCTTTAACGCAAGATGCTAACGATCACTGATTTAAATTATAATCTCTACCAAAATAATAATTACATATTTCTTGAATTTTTTCTTTTCTTCCCCTTTTCCCTCCTTTCCTTCCTTCTTTCTTTCTTTCTTTCTTTCTTTCTTTCTTTCTACCATGTGGCTTCCGGACATTGAACTTAGGTCAGCAGGCTTGATGGCAAGAGCCTTTACTCACTCAGAAATCTTGCCACAGATCTTATTTTTTTTTGAGACAGGATGTCATGTAGCCCAGACTAGCCTCAACTGGCACTCCTTATGTAGAGGAAAGTGGCCTTGAGCTCCTGATCCTCCCACCTCCATTTCTCAAGTGCTAGACTTACAGTCATGTACCACCATGCCCAGTTCTGGGGTGTTCTTTTTTAAATTTATTTTTATTCATGTGTATGTGTGTATGCATGGTAGCATGTGTGTGCAGGCACCTTCCGAGGCCAGAAGATGGCATTGAATCCCTTGGAATTCGAGTTGCAAGCAGTTGTGAACCAACTGTGGGTGCTGGAATCAGAGTCAGGTTCTCTGGCAGAGTAGGAAGTGCTCTCAACCACTAAGCCATCTTTCCAGACCCTTGAATGTTCTTTTTTTAAAAAAAGTTTAATCATGGATATTATAATACAATAAACAGCTGCTTCACTCTGTTATTTCCCTCAATATGTAGAAGGTTTTCAATTGAAAACAACCTAATTTGCCAGCTTTTACTATTATCTCTTGAGCTATTGGAATCCTATGTAGAAGATCATTGTCTGCCTGGATCTTGAGCTCTTCCCCATGTCTTCCTCTGATGTTGCAAAGTTCAAAGTCTTAGAATATTAAGGTCTTTTATTTTGAGTTGATTTTTTTTATACAAGATGAGAGATAAGAATTCAATTTCTTCTGCTTGTGGCTCTCCAGATTTCCCAGCACCATTTGTTAAAGAGGTTGTCTTTTTTCCAGTGTCTTTAGCATCTTTGTTGATAAGCAGATGGCTATAGCTGTATGGGTTTATTTCTGAATCCTCTCTTCTATTTTTGTTATTATTGTTTTCTCTTTTCTTTTGTTCTCTTTCTTTTTGAATTCTTTATTCCATTGCATTCATCCATTTGTTTGTGTTTACACTAATACCATACTGTTTTTCTTTTTTAAATATGGCTCTATAGTATAATTTAAAATGAGATATTGGGACACCTCGGCATTGTTAGGAGCCACAAGAAAGTTTCAGGATGAGTCAAATAAAACAAAGGAGGACTGGAGAGGTGGCTTACTGGTTAGGAGCATTGGCTGCTCTTGCAGAAGACCTAGATTCACTTCTGAAGCCCCACATAGCTGCTAACAACTGTAACTCCAGTTCTGGGGAATCCAGCACCCTCTTCTGTCCTCCACAGGCATTGCACACACATGGTACATGTACACACATGCAAGCAAACACTCAAACAAATAAAATAAAAAATAATTTTTAAGTGAATCAAAATTAGTGAGTTTATTGATTAAATAGATGCACTTGCAAAGAATCAAGTGCAGTGTTAGGACAGCAATACTTCAGCAGTGGCTATATAAATGATTTGGCTTTGGGAATTAGATTGTTTAGTGGACATAATTATGAAGTTGAAGGCAAAAATAAAGATGTAAAAGTTGTAGCAATATGCTTATTTTTCTTACTAAAAGAAGTTTTTAAGATTTAGTATATATTATTTTTATATTTTGTATATTATTTTTATTTTATGTGTAGGAGTATATTGCCTGCATGAATGCAAGTGCACCCATGTTGTGCAATGCCTGTGAAGGTCAGAAGAGGGTGTTGGATCCCCTGGAACTGGAGTTACAGAGGGTTATTAGCCACCGTGTGGGTGCTGGGATTTGAACCCTGGTCCTCTGCAAGAGCAACCAGTGCTCTTAACCACTGAGCCATCTCTCCAACCCCTATTTTATTATTTTTAATTGTGTATGTGTGTATATGAATAGGTGCAAATGTGTGTGCAGGTGCCCATAGAGGCCAGAAGAGGATATCTGATCCCTTGGAGCTGGACTTCTAGGTGGTTGTAAGCTACTGGATGTGGGTGCTGGGAACCAAACTTGGGTCTTCTACTACAGTGGTCCCTGCTCTTAACCACAGAGCCTTCTACCCAGTCTGAAAGAAATTTTATAAATGGAATTGTGAAGTACTTTATGAGGTTACTGGGCAGGCTTACATATGAAGATGAAATGTGGTTAAGATGAAACCCACAGATCAAATTTAACCAAAAGAATCAAAGCCATTTTGCTACACATGGGTAACAGAAAAAATGATGAAGACATGTATTTATCCCATGTGTGGTTCTCTAGCCATTTTTTTTTTTTTGACTTTTGGAGACAGGGTCTCCCTGTAACCCCAGCTGTCCTGGAACTCACTATGTAGACCAGGCTGGCCTTGAACTCACAGAGATCCGCCTGCCTCTGCCTCCTGAGTGCTGGGATTAGGGGTGCGCCACCATGCCCAGCTTCTCTAGCCATTTTAATGATCATGTTTATAACAGGAGTGTCCTTATTCATGGTTTCTATGAATGTCAGTTGTGTTAAAACTCTACTCAGTCAGCAAGGGCTGGAAACCAGGTCCATGTGGTGAGGGTGAGGGCCTCTTTTCTTAAGTTCCACTTTTGTGCTATTAATTCCCAATTTAATATCTCTGACATAGTCACCTTCTCTGAGCAACTAACCCTTATATTTAAAAAGGTTTAAAATTACACTTATTTATTGTGGGAGTGACACATGGAGGTCAGTCCTTTTCTTCCATCATGTGGGTTCTGGGTATCAATCTCAGGTCATCAGGCTTGGTGTAAGCACCTTTATCTGTTAAGTCATCTTGCTGGCCCTACAAACCTTATCTTTAAGCCACTAGTAGCACCACATAAACTTGAGAATTAGCGACAACAGAATCAGAACTCAAAGGCCATCCTGGACTTCAAAGTGAGTTCAAGACCAATCTGGGATACATGAGCCCCATCTCAAAAATTAATTAAGATAAAAATAAATCAAATAAAAAGCAAGCTAGACCAAATCATTCATATGTTTAAAACCTATCTTTGGTTTCCTGTGGAAGGATAAAATATAAATTCTATCACATGGCTCTTTGTAATCTGATCCTTGCCCAATTTTCCATTCACATTTTAAGTTACCCACCTCTCATTCAATGCTATTGTTTGAAGGAAAGTGTCCTCCAAATTTTATGTGTGGAAATTTGGTCCCCAGTGCAATAGTGTTAAGGGGCCTTTGAGAGGTGAGTGGGAAAGAGAGAGTTCTCATGAATGAATTCATTCACAGGTTAGTGGCTTATTATAGGAATAACGTGGTTCTAAAAGCAAGTTCCACCATGCTTGCTTCATCTTGTCATGTGGTGCCTTCTGCTGTGTTAGGATATAGTATGAAACTCTCACCTGAATGCCAGCAGATGCCAGGTCCACACTTGGACTTCTCCAACCATCTCTGTTCTTCATAAATTACCCAGTAGTGTTCAGGTACAACAACAGAAAATGGACTCTGACACTCGCTGATTTCCCCTGCTGGGGAAACCACTGGGACAACCACTAACAGTCACATGATGTTCTCATGCTGGTCTCTTGTAAAGTCTCTGCCTTGAAGTCCTCAGCACCATATCTATTTCCTTCTTAACTGTTGGCATCACTTGTAAGCAACGTGACTTGTTTTCTATGTTTCTTTTCTCTTTTTTTCCTACTTTTCCTCACTCTTTCCCCTTTTCTTGTTGGTGCTGGTGATTGGATCCATGGCCTTACACATACTAAGCTTGTTCTCTATCACTAAGCTGCACCCCAGCTCTGCCTGCTTCTTTAACTAAACAGTGTTCTTCACAAGTCCTATTCATTATTGTAATCTAGGATCTAGACTAGTGTCCACCATATAAAAGGATGTAACATATATCTATTATATTCCTCTTGAGCCCAAAGTTAAGCATAAGGGTGATCAAAATAAAGCCCCTTATCCCCAAAGCTTTCTGTTTCAGCTGGGAGTATAAATAATGTGTTAGTCAGCACTGCATCACTGTGACAAAATACCTCAATCACCTTAAAAGGAAGAAAGGTTTAGTTGGGTTCATGATTTCAGAAGCTCTAGTCCATGGTTGGTTGGCCCTGTTAGGGGGCCTGTGGATTTATAGAACATCATAGTGGGAGTAAATGGCAAAAGAAGCCTGTTTGCCTCATGGTAATCAGTAAGCAAGAGATATATAGGAAGGGACTGGGGTCTGATATACTCTGCAAGGGCATGACCCCATGACTTAACTTCCTAAAGTTCCCACCATCTCCCACTAGCAGCATAAATTAGTCTTTAGCACATGTGCCTTTGGGAGGTGTTCAGAATCTGAACTCTTACAGACATTCTGGAATTATGTATTCACTACATAGATCCTGGATTCAAAGACCAGGAATAGAAGGCATCGGGATAATGGATTATCTGCATTTATTTGATTCCAAAGTTTAGTTAATAGGGAAGCAGATGCAGTGGTGAATGGAGCATTTGAATGGAGCTCATGATAAGATCTTTGTTGTCATCATTGTATTTCAGATGAGTGCATTAATAAAGCTAGGTGCATACAGTTACCAACTATGATATGTATTTATACATTTTGCTTTTTGATCGATTTCTATATGACTATAGCTCATAAGTGCCATAACCATGTAGCTGCTTGATAGTAAATTGACTATGTTTGCAAAAATAAGTATGTTATGATCACCTATTTTATTGTGTAAAGTGGCCTATGAAGTATGTGACTGGGTTTTTGTGTTTCTCATACCTCCTTTGAATGATATAAATAAGGGTTTGCAGTTGTAGCTCAGGGTAGAGTACCTTCTTGTCATGCAGGAATCTTGGGTTCAATTCCCAGTACTGCCAAAAGGAGAAAAAAAATCAGTAAATACATGTATGTTAAAGAACTTTATAACTTTTCCAGAATTATACTCTAGAACTTGTGATATTCATAGGTTTTAGACTTTAAGGATTCTGATCTTTCAGGATTTCAGCATCTGGGACTATGTTGGCCAAATTGTTGGCAACAATCTATTTGGGAGAATTTCAAAGAATGGAAATGTACTGTACTTATTTTGCTAAAAAAAAACTGAACTGACTGAATTAAAATAGACTAGACAATGAGATGAGAAAATGGTATTTTATACTCATGTGTTTGATTCTGGTTCATATTCAGTGGCTACTCAACCAAAGATGCCGGTCTCCTCTGTTAAAGAACAGATTTCCTCCAAGGCAACAGAAGATGTGTTTAAGCAGCAAGAGATTCCATCTGGATTTCCTGAGACACCACTCTCTCACCTAAACAAGGCACAAGAAGCTCCCTCCACTTCTGACTCAAAAACTGTACTCCAAGTAAGTGTGCTGGATAGCCTTAGTTGTCAACTTGACACACCTGGGTTGAGGAAGCCTCAATTGGGGAATTGCCTCCATTGGGCTGGCCTGTGGCCACGTCTGTAGAGTATTTTCTTGATTTTTGAGTGATGTGGGAAGGCCCACTGTAGGCAGTGGCACTCTGGGCAGATTGTTCTCTATTGTATAAGCAAGCAGTCTGAACATGGGCCAAAGGATCAAGCCAGTAAGCAGCTATCTTCCATGGTCTGTGCTTTAGCTCCTGCCTCCAGGTTCCTACCCTGAGCTCCTACTTTGGGCTTCCTGATGACCCAGCAAGCAAACCTCAATAATCATCCTGTCTCCACCCCCAACCCCCACCCCACAATGCTGAGGTTACAGGTGTGACCACCCCTAGCTTGTTACATGGATGCTGGGATCTGAAATCAGGTCTTCGTGCATGTGCAGCAAGCACTGAACTGTCTCCTTAGCCTTATTGTATTGTTAAATCACTATTTCAAGAATGATTTCCATGTAAGGTAGGATGTTAGGTTGTTTATACTTTTTAAAAATTGATACGAAAATTGGTCTTCAGTATAATTTTTTTTTGGTCTTCTTTGAGACAGGGTCTTACTGTAGCCCCAGCTGGCCTGGAACTCACTATGTAGACCAGGCTGGCCTTGAACTCACAGAGATCTGCCTGCCTCTGCCTGCCCAGTGCTGGGATTAAAGGTGCCACCACATCCAGCAGTATAGATTAATATTTTTATGTTTTTAAAATTATTTATTTGTATATGTGTGTCTATGTAAATGTATGCCACATGTCTGTCCATGTCCCCAGAGGCAGGAGAGAGCATTGGGTCTCCTGGATCTGAAGTTGTGAGCCACTTGACATGGTTGCTGGGAACTGAAGTTGGGTTCTCTGGCAGAGCAGCAAACTCTTAACTGTGGAACCATCCTTTCTCTGGTCCCAGCACAGAGTAATCTTAAGTCACACTATTTCACAGACTTAGAGTATTACACAGATTTCAGAGATTTCTTAGGTAGAATTTGAACTACTTTAGTATTTTGCTAGTAATGCTATTAAGAATTGTCTACTCTAACCATGTAGATGGTACATTCCTGTAATTTAAGCACTCAAGAAGCTGTGGCAGAGGTATCACAAGGTTGAGACCAGTTTGAGATAGACTGTGAGCTTTAGGACAGCCTGGACTACATAAAAAAAGAAAGGAAGGAAGGGAGGGAGGGAGGGAGGAAAGAAGAAAGAAAGAAAGAAAGAAAGAAAGAAAGAAAGAAAGAAAGAAAGAAAGAAAACTTTAAAAAACAGCCAACAGAAAGGAATTGTCCACAATTGTTTTGTTTTGCTTTGCTTTGAGATGAAGTCTCACTAAGGAGACCCATTCCCGGAACCCTCACGCCTCCCAAGAGCTGAGATTATGGTGATGTGCCACCAGACTTGGCATATACTTCACTCTTAGGAATTAAACACCCTAACTAGTTCCACGTATTCAAAAACATTTTTGGTATAACCATGACTTTTATTTTCTATCTTTCATTTGTGTTTATACAAGATTGTTCTTTGGGATGTGGGAAGAAAATATTACACCTATTGGTTTTTCCTGTAAAAGAGGACAAAACTAATTAATACTTAATGCATGCATTGACAACTTATGTGTAAATTCTGTGAAAACTTGGTGCTGGTAATTATTCCTTATAAATTATTAATGGCTGGGCATGGTGGCACACACCTTTGATCCTAGTTCTTGGGAGGCAGAGGCAGTCGGATCTCTGTGAGTTCAAGGCCAGCCTGGTCTACATAGCGAGTTCCAGGCCAGCTGGGGCTTCAGGGAGACCCTGTCTCAAAAATACCAAAGAAAGAGAGAATAAATAAATATTATTAATGGATGAGCATGTCCTTAATGGTAGCTTCTTGTTGATGTGTTTTACTTTAGATTACAAAGGGGGTAAAGAGGAGCACAGATGCAACAACTCCTACAACTTCTACAGTTAAAGCAAGTAGTGAATCTCCTCCAACAGTGAGAGAAGAAAAATCAACAAATATGTCAATGAAAGAGGGCACACTGAAGAACATTTTGACAGATTCTCAGCAACAACATAGAGCTGGAAAGCCTGTCAAAGTAACCAAACAATTAAAGTACTGTAGTGAAATTCTTAAAGAGATGCTTGCAAAGAAGCATTTATCATACTCGTGGCCCTTTTACAACCCCGTTGACACTAATGCTTTGGAACTCCGTAACTACTATGAAGTTGTCAAAAATCCAATGGATCTTGGAACTATAAAGGTAAATATTGCCTGAATAGGAAGAGTTTCTTCTTCTTGATTATAAAAATATTTCATCATTACAAAGAAATTTAAATTCCAGAAACTTATGAAGAAAATTACAGCACCAGAATCATGTCCCCCAAAGAGAATCATTGGGACCTTTTTAAATATGCCTTTTCATTTTCATGTCAACACATTCCTTTTACGTGGATGCTGGGGATGTAACTCAGCTCCTCTTGCACAGCAAGTACTTTAGGACTGAGCCATCTCCTCAGACAGTTTCTTTTTAAAGCCCAGTTTTATTTCGTTATTTTTATCAATATAGTAAAGTTTACTAATGTGTTACTAAACTTTGTGTTTGCCCTCATTGCTTGCATTCTTTGTCCCCCTCTGAGTTTATTGTGTTTGTTGAAGTTCAAATTAGTGGTCCTTCTATGAGGGTTTATAGGTAGTAAACCCAGTTTAAGTCTAAAAGTATCTGCATTTTATCCTGTTCTTGAATGACTCTAACAGTATGGAATCCTGAAACTACAATCATTTTCTCTCAATGCTTAAAGGACATTCTGGTGTCTCTCTGCTTTTAACTTGTTGGCCCTTTGCAGATGACTTGTCTTTCTCTCTCTAGTTCTACATTGGACTTTGTCCATCTTGGACTGGACATTAGCACTTTGAGTCTGAAGATTCATGTCATAAGTTCTAAAACTAAGTTTAGCCATTATCTTGTCAAAATATTGCTTTTCTTCTTCCCCTACATGCCAACTCAGATGCCAAGGTTATGGAATGCTATATGAAATAGATAAACCTGAGTCAAATCTTAAGAGGTAAATAGGAGTTTTTAGTTATAGGGTATTTCAGGCAGGGAAAATGACTTCTCCAATGGCCACAAGGTAAAGAAAACAGTCAAAATACTATCTTTGTGAATAGGGGATTGAACTCAGGTCATTGAACTAAAGGAAACCTGGAAGAAAATGTGGCCGGAAGAGGAACCTCAGTCTTAAGAAAGGCCATTGTAAAGAAACTAGATATGCCTGTTAAACATTTTCTTTATTGTGAATAGGGCAGCAATAATGATGGCTATGGAAGTATCTCTGTGGTGTACTGACTTAGAATCCTTTGAGTACACACTCAGCAACTAGATCATATGTGGCAATTCCATGTTTAGTTCTTGAGGAAACTCCGTACTGATTTCCAGAAAGACTGTACCAGTTTACATCTCACCAGCAATGTATTAGAGTTCCTCTTTTCCTGTATCTTCTCCAGGATCTGTTGTTTTCTGGATGACAGCCATTCTGACTGGGCTAAGATAGAACATCAATGTAGTTTTACTGGCCATTTGTACTTCTTTCTTTGAGAACTGTATATTACATTCATTAGCCCATTTATTGGTTAGATGACGTGAAGGTTTTATTTGGGGGGGTCTATATAGATTATAGCATTAATCCTCTCTGTCCAATGTAGAGTTGGCCAAGCTTTTCTTCCATTCTGTCAAATCTCTTCACTCTACTAATGGTTTCCTTTACTCCACAGAAGATTTTTAATTCCATATAATACCTTATATTGTTTGTTCTTGTTTTAATTCCTGAAGAGGGTGCCTTTGTTTCACTCAGGATTTTAGAAAAAAGACTTTCAGTTTTTCCCCATTTAGTATAAAGTTGACTATAGGTTTGTTATATATGACCTTTTATTATGTTGCATTATGATCCCTCTAGTCAGTTTCTTCAGGGCTTTTACCACAAAACAATGTTGAAGCTTTTCCAAGGCATTTTCTATGTCTTTGAGATGTTTGACGTTTTTCTCTGTGTTGCAGGCCCAGGTCTGTGACTAATTTCCTTTATTCACCTGGCTTTGTTTTGTGTGTTTTTAAAATATTTTATTTATTATTTTATTATGTATATGAGTGTATTGCCTGCATTTGTGTAAGTGCTCCGGTGTCACGCAGTGCCCTCTGAGGTCAGAAGAGGGCATTGGATTCTCTTGGAAATGAAATTAAAGACAGTTGTTAGCTGCCATGTGGGTGCTGTGAATTGAACCTGAGTCCTCTGCAAGAGCAGTCAGTGCTCTTAACAGCTGAGCTATCTCTTCAGCCCTTGTTTTGGGTTTTTATTTTGGGTTTTTGTTTTGGGGTGTTTGTGTGTATGTGTTTCTATGTGTTGTGATGTGCATTTGTTTGTTTGGTATCTCTTGTAGTCTTATTTGGAGATTTTCTTAGCAAATGTTCTGCCTTTGAGGACTCAATCACAGTACTACTAAAAGAGGAAAAAGCAAACTGCTTTCAACAGCAACCACATCAAACCATATGAAGGTTACATGGGCAATTGAAATTGATTAAAAACCACTGTATATCAGGAGCAACCATAAAACAGAAAATAGCTAAACTAATGTAGAGTGTGCTGCAGAGTTACAAATTATGATTAAATATGGAAGTAGTCAATGAGTAAGATAATGGTGGGGGCTAGGGAAAGAGGATGGACAGAAGCAAGAGTAAGGAAAAAAGGTCAGGTGCTGGGAGGCAGAGGCAGGCGGATCTCTATGAGTTTGAGGCCAGCTGGGACTACAGGGAGACGGTGTCTCAAAAAAAGAAAAGGAAGTGGAGGCAAATGCTATGAAAAAATTTTAATTTTTAAAAAATTAAAAATAATTGAGAAAAGATTACCCAATAACAAGAAAATCAACAACCATAGTTACATAAATGTAAGGAGTATATAAAGAACATCCAACTTTTTTTTCTCAGACAGGGTCTCACTATGTAGCCCTAGCTGTCCTGAACTTTCTATGTAGACCAGGGATCTTTCTATGGTTTCAGGGATCTACCTATCTCTGCCTACCAAGTGCTGGAATTAAACGTATGGGTCACCACACCTGGCCATGAAAGCGTTAAAAAATTAGATAAAATCAAAATACTACTGACAGCATAATAGAAAAAAAGAGACACAGAAAATGAGGGGGAAAGGCTGCCTAGCAATTTTAAAAAGAGGTAGCAAAATTAGATAATTATATGCAAGTGAATAAAAAACAAAAGCTTTTCTGAAAAATAGAAAAATCTTGGGGCCAGCAGGATGGCTCAGTGGATAAAAGAGCTTGCCTTTGAGTCTGACAACCTGAGTTCAATTCCTGGTACCCACATGAGAGAGGAAGAGAGCTGACTCTCAGATAACTGTCCACTGACCTCCACATGAGATCCATGGCCACTGTATGTCCTGACATCCATCACACACACACACACACACACACACACACACACACACACACGCACTCTATCTCTCTCAAAGTAACAAAAAGTGGGGGATTGTGGTGGGGGAACAAAACAATAAGAAAAAAATGAAACATTGAAGTGACTTCTTCAGTCCTTGAAAATTGGAGCCTTCTAGCTATATACAGTGAGGGACAGGTCAGCTGAACTTGTGGATTCTTGGCTTTCTTGTGAATTATGCTGGCACCAAACCTGTATTGGACAAACAACTTATATCTACCAGAGCTGTCTTTACTTTATAGCTTCCCTTCTTTGCACACCGAAAGTGTCTGCTTGCCAGACTTAGCTTTGTAGTCTGTGGGCTGGGCAGGTTCTCCTAGTCTCCGCAGACTCCCTAATTCCTGGACCCTGGGGTTCTTAGCTTGTGGTTTCTTTCAAGTGCATTGGGAGCAGGCAAAGCTACCAGAGTCCTGAGATAGATCTGTAAAGGCAGACCTGTCTTCATAGTTTCAGAATCCACTAAGCACTCATCGCCTGTTGGAGGAATGTGGCCGTAGATATCAAGTGGCTCAGTGGAGCTGCAGAATTCTTGGACCAGGTAACATGAGCCTGATGATGGATAAGGTGGCACCACGCGTTGATATGCCCATTGACCTCAGGCTCAGGGCTGTCATGCTCCAAAGACACTCATACTTGAGGAGGGCTTCTCCCAGGTGCCGAGGGTGGGGCTAACTGTACACTTCACTGCCTGGGTCAAGCCTCCTGTCACTTGCATGTCTCAGCTTGTCAGTGTCTTGCCCTCCTGTTGTCCACAGCTGATTTCCAGGCCTGTGTTTTGTGTGAACTGTGGCATGTTGAGTGGGGGGGGGGGGTTGCTCAGTTTTAAACTCTACATTCCCTCCCAAGATGGGACCTGGCCACAGTCTGTTGAGCCAGGGGATTCTTGCCCATTGCTGATCCATCCCACCTCAACAGTCGCTGTCTCAGCAAGGCCCACAACTAGATTAGAGGCTTGTCAGAGCTGTGGCTCTGTCCCACCAGCAGAACGCCAGTCTCTCTTCACCTGGGTGTGGTTCTGCTTGCCTTCCGGGTGTGGCTTCTGCTTCCTGCACAAGGAACCACGCAGCCTGCCCATGAGTGACTAAGCTGCTTTGGGTCCTTTTGTCTGTTTCTCTATACATTTCCACTTTTGAATTTCCAAAGCACCTCCTCTCTTTGTAGTAGAGTTTGTTTTTTCTTATCCTTACACTTCCTCACTGGGTCACAAAGCCTCAGCTTCCAGTCCACCATCTTACCCCAAAGTGGAAGGCTTTTTTTCTCTGTGTCATTTTCTGTATAATTGCCTGAATTATTTCATGTGAATTGAATTTTTCTATTTGTGAATTCATCTAACTTTTCCTTAACTTAGAGGAAAATGGATAGCCAAGAATATAAGGACGCCTATGAATTTGCTGCAGATATGAGATTAATGTTCATGAACTGCTACAAATATAATCCTCCAGATCACCAAGTAGTCACAATGGCTCAAAGCCTGCAGGTGAGTTTTCACTTACGGTCTAAAAGTGGTTTCCCTCTAAACATGGCATAAAATATTCAGAACTATAACTCAAGAGATGAATAACAAATGCCTCTATCCCTGAATACTATGAAAAAATTTATAAATTATATTGATTAAACTGGAGGGGATCAATTATGGAGTTACTTATCCTTTAGTAGCAAATATTTAAAGGTGCCTATTCTTCAGAAGAAATTGGTGAATCTTCAGTGAAAATGATAGAGCTGGTGGGAGCTTGTGCTCCACACAAGGGAGGGTCCAATACTGCCCAGTCTTGATTCACTGAAAGATAGAACAGAACATGCCTTACCTCAAATCATCAGACCTTTAAAAAAGTTGGCTCAGTGGTTAAGAGCACTGGCTGCTCTTGTAGAAGATTCAGGTTCAATTCCCAGCACCCATATGGTGGCTGACAACTGTCTGTAACTCCAGTTGCAGGGGATCCAATACCCTATTCCAACCTTTGTGGGCATTGTACAACACAGGTGCACTTACATATATGCAGGCAATACACTCATACACATAGAAAATAAATAAAAGTAATTCATAAAATATCTTTTAAAATCCACTGTGTAACTGGAAAAGTTCATGTCGCTTAGAAAATTAGAGAAAAGTTGCTGAGGTTGGCAGGCAGAGAAGCATGGATCTTACATTTCTTCTCTGGTATCTTAAAGAATTCTGCCCCAAATATGTCAATGCAAGTACTTTTTCTTAAATGGCGTTCTTGCTGCATTAAATCAGAAATGCAGAAGACCAAACCAAGTGTTCTGGCACAGGCCTATAATCCCAGAAACCCTGGAGGCAGGCAGGAAGATTGCAAGTTCAAGGGCTACATAGTGAGTTCCAGGCCAGACTAAAACACAGGAAGACTGTCTTAAAACACACCAAAAAAACTTGAACAGACTAATTTTCCATTATAGGATATTTTTGAGATCTGTTTTGCCAGAATCCCTGATGAACCTGCTGAAAATATGCCTACATGTCACTTTACAACCGACCACACAAAAACTCTCTGCAGAGAGAGCAGCAGTGATGCTTCCTCAGAAGAGAGCTCTTCTGATGATTCTGAAGATCGAGTCCAGCGTCTTGCAAAACTTCAGGAGCAGGTGGTTTTTTATATGGCATGAGTGTTGATGTGCCTGCTGTGAGCTGCTGATCAGTGACAAAGTCTTTGTAGGTTTAAAGCTGTTATATTTAGATCACTTAATGTCTATAGCTTTAATTACTTTGGGGCACATTTTTCATGTTTAGTGATCTTTCCTACTTGAGTATCTATATGCCACGTAATCCTAGAGGGCTCCTCCTCCTCTTGCTTCTCCCACTTCTCCTCTTCCTCTTTCTCCTCCTCCTCCTCCTCTCTTTTTCTCTCACTGTGAATTCACTTTATAGCCAAGGATACCTAGAACTCCTGACCCTCCTGTCTCCACCACTTAAGTGCTAGGATTATCAGTGTACACCACAAAGCCTGGCAAATCTTTTGTTTTTTAAAGCAGGGTCTCCCTGCAGCACCAGATGGTCTGGAACTCACTATGTAGAGCAGGATGACTTGATGGCACAGAGAGCAGCCTGCCTATAGAGCCTCCCAAGTGCCGGGATCAAAGGCATGAACCCTACGCCCAGCTAAATTTTTAAAAAATTCTGTTACATTCCTAATCACAATGAGTGGTTGATTGAAATGATTTGTGATATAATGTGAGATATTTTATAGATGGGATCTTATTTAACATTTGCTATTTTTTTGTCTTTTTTGAGACAGGATCTCCTTGTAGCCCCAGCTGTCCTGGAACTCACTATGTAGACCAGGCTGGCCTCGAACTCATAAAGATCTGTCTGCCTCTGCCTCCCAAGTGCTGGGATTAAAGGCGTGCACCACCACACCTGGCCTACTTTCTTTTTTAAATTTTTTTATTTATTATTTTTATTTTATGTGTATGCATGTATTGCCTGCATGTAGGTAAGTGCACCTGTGTCGTGCAATGCCTGCAAAGGACAGAAGAGGCTGTCAGATTCCCTGGAACTGGAATTATGGACAGTTGTTAGCTGCCATGTGGGTGCTGGCATTTGAACCTGGGTCTTCTGCAAGAACAACCAGTGTTCTTAACCGCTGAGCCATCATTCCAGCCTCAACATTTGCTACTTTCTGTGATAAAATATTAACTATTTCTGAGCTTATACCTGAAAAGTTAATAATTTAAAAACTTAAGACCAAGACTGGAGAGATACCTTGGTGGTTCAGAGCACTTGCTATTCTTCCAGAAGACTCAAGTTTGGTTCCCAGCAATGATGTCAGGTGCTCACAGTTGCCTGGAATTCAACCTTCACATGGATCTGATGCCACTAGCCTCCACTGCCACCTGCACATATGTGCACTGACTGGCACACACAGAGAGACTGGCATATACATAATTTTTTAAATCTTTTAAAAAAAACCCTTAAAGACCTGTTTTTTATTGCTATATCATTTATTTGTGATGCTGGGATTCAAATCTAGGACCTTGCATAGGCTAGGCAAATGCTCTACTATTGGCCTATATTCTCAGCCCTCTGGACCAATTTTAGATGAATATTTAAGCTTATAGGTTTAACATGTGGTGTTTGAAATTTTTTGCATGCCCTTCAAAATAGTGTCTAAAATGAAGTGAAAATATAACATGAACGAATTTCACAAAGGGTGCTCCTTGGAATGTCATTTTTTCGACTGTCTTTAATTATTTAGAGCTGTGAATGCTTAAAGACTGTTTTGTTTCTGTTGTTTTTCCTTTCCTAGCTTAATACTGTCCATCAGCAGCTACAGGTTCTAACTCAAGTTCCTTTCCATAAGCTAAGAACAAGGAAGGAGAAGCCTAAAAGGGCACCAAAAAGAAAACCGACTAGTAACAGAGACGAAAATCCAAAGAAAAAGTTTAAGGAAATGAAACCAAAGGAAAAGTCCAAGAGCAAGTAAGTATCATTTATGATGACTTATTAAGCACTATGTGAAATAAATTTGGGTACAGGTTTAGTTTGGTGATAGACCATGTACTTAGTGTATGCAAGGACTTGGGTTCTATCCCTAGTAGCTAAATTAATGATCTAAAATGAAATAGATGTAACTAAACATAATTATTGTTACAGTCAACCAAAGAAGAAACCGCTTCCGAAGTCTGATGATGAAGAAACAGCTAAGCCTATGAACTACGATGAGAAAAGGCAGCTAAGTTTGGATATAAACAAACTTCCGGGAGAGAAACTTGGGCGAATAGTTCATATAATACAATCAAGAGAACCTTCATTGAGAAATTCCAATCCCGATGAGCTCGAGATAGACTTTGAGACACTGAAGTCATCCACACTACGGGAACTGGAAAAATACGTCGTGGCTTGTCTGAGGAAAAGACCACTGAAGACCCAGGGTAGGTCCCTCTGCACAGAGCTAAGAACACAGCCCGACACGTTCATTTGTGCTCATGCTCACACTCTTCTACCCCTAAATCCCACAGCCAAGAAAACGGCCAAGTCCAAAGAAGAACTCCATACACAGAAAAAGCAGGAACTGGAACTGCGGTTACTGGATGTCAACAATCAACTGAATTGCAGAAAGCGACAGACCAAGCAGCCAGCGAAACGTAGGTGGCCGTTTTTAAGTGTTCTCTCCAAATTCTGCAGGCCGGTTAAAGTGTATTAACACGTTTCCCTGTTTTGCAGGTGAGAAGCCGCCGCCAGGGGCAGCTCAGCCACCTCAAGCATCGCAGGTACCCACAGAGCTGGTGAGGGTATCCCGCTTGAGCGACAGCAGCTCCAGCTCTGGGTCCGCGAGCAACAGCAGCAGCAGCAGCAGCAGCAGCAGCAGCAGCAGCAGCAGCAGCAGCAGCAGCAGCAGCAGCAGCAGCGATTCGAGCTCAGACAGCAGCGATGCGGAACCAGGTTAGCTGTCCCCTGAGCTCCTTCTGCTAGGGAATGGACTTTCTTGTTATGCTGAGAATTCATATTTAGAAGGATCTGTTCCCAGATCCTATGGTTTAGATGCCACACTTGTTATTAAACTGCATGGAGACGTCTTGTTTTGTTTTGTTTTTTTCCTTAAAAGAGGTACTTATAAAATGAAGTTTCATATTCTACAATATGGCTTGTAGATCTGTAACGTTGAGGATAAGTTTACTCCTACTGGAATAGTGTCTTAGGAAATAATATCGGGTTTTAAAAGCAGAAAATATCATATAAGAAAGTGTTGATTTTTACTTCTTTTTAGATTGGGGATGCTTTTCAATGTGGTCATCAATGTATGTGAGATCACTCTAATGACACATAGTATGTATGCCCTATTAAGATGCTGAGCTCTAAGTCGAACTGTCACTTTTTTTAAAAAAATTAAGCAGGTCCTTCTAGAATTTGTAGAACATTTTTTCACTTTAATCAGTTTTTTTCCTATAGAATATTATCTTCCACTTACATAAAAAGAGACAGAAGTACCATGTTCTCTTGCAGAGTTATGGGCTATATTAGTCTTCTTGCTTTCCCTTACTGCTTAATGTAGCTGGCATGTGATCACTGCCCCCAAAATGCTGACTTTGCAGTGGTATTCATATGATGAACCTAACCAAATGCAAATTAAAGTGTTCTTATGCCTACAATTTGCTTTGTTGTAAATGGGATGTATCTTGAAAAGTTCGGTCCTCCTTGTTAATCCCACTGAGCCCATCCAGATATTAAGAGTTGCTATCCATTGTAAGAACATCCTTCTTTTTGCAGTCAGGCTCTGCTGGCTTGCAGGGATTCTGTTTTCCTTTTGGTTCTATTTCATTTGCTTTTCTGTGGAGCTGATTGCTGCATTTTTCCCCTCATGGTTCTAAAGTACACAGTGGTAAACAATTTTATAAAACAACAGAATTTTTACTAACACATTTAAAAATCATTTAGAGCTCTATTATACAGTATTTTCATATCTTACAATACTGGGAAGAGACCAAGTCCCATTTAGTATTTTACATTGTAATTAGCAATTGTAATTTCATCTAATAAAACATTTATGGCCTAATAAATTACAGTTTATTTGTAGGATAAAGCTCATTTTGTAACTGTTAGTGTGAATTATTTAAGTTAAATAATTCGATAAATACTTTGAGGGTTAGAAGAAAAATACTACATGCAGTTTTCAATTTATAAATGTACCTTATTTGTTAGGATATTATTATACCTTCCAAAATATTTTACTTATTATTTTATGTGTATGAGCATATTGCCTACATGCCCATGAAGGTCAGAAGAGGGTGTTGTATTTCCCTGGAACTGGAGTTATGAACTGTTGTTAGCCACCATGTGGATGCATGAGCCGTCTCTCCAGCCCCTCCTCTACTTTTTTGAGACAGTGTCTTACTATATAAACAGGGCTGGACTTGAACTTGTAGCAGTCCTCCTCTGCCTCCCAAATCTGTGATTGTAGGCATGCTGCACCATACCCAGCTCTTGATAAAATCCTCTAGGATGCTGATTGATGGGAAAATCTTTATCACCAGCAATATAGTCTTAAAATGGTGCATCTGGTTTTTAATTTCCTAACTTTTTATCAGAACAGCTCATCCTCAGGATTTTTATTTTGTGGCCTATATTCTTGGTCAGTGTCATATTTCTCAAAGGAGTTTTTGTTCTGCAGTGCTGAGACGGAACCTAAGTTCTTGTGCATACAAGGCAAGTATTCTGCCACTGAGCTACATCCTCAGACCAGTTTTCTTTTTATTTTGAGGAGGGTCTCACTAAATTGTCCAGGCTGGTTTTGAACTTACTGTGTAGCCCAGGCAATCCTTCAACTTTCAATCCTTGTGCCTCTACCTCTCGAGCCGCTAGAATTTAGCTGCATACCACTCAGCTGACCTAAGACTTGTTTTCAAATGTGTATTATCAGAGTAAAAATTTTTTATTTTTTATTTTATTTATTATTTTATTTTATGTGTATGCATGTATTGCCTGTATGCATGTAGGTAAGTGCACCCGTGTGGTGCAGTGCCCATGGAGGTCAGAAAAGGTTGTCGGATCCCCTGGGGCTGGAGTTACAGACAGTTGTTAGCTGCCATGTGGGTTCTGGGATTCAAACCCGGGTCTTCTGCAAGAACAACCAGTGTTCTTAGCCACTGAGCCATCTCTCCGGCCCCAATTTATTTTTATTTTATGTGTATGAATGTTTTGTCTGAATGTATGTAGGTGCACCTATTTGTGCAATGCCCATGGAGGCCAGAAGAGGGCATCAGATCCCCTCGAACTGTAGTTACTGACAGTTGTTAGCTACCATGTGGATGCTGGGAACCAAATCTGGGTCTTCTGCAAGAGCAAGCCAATACTCAACCACTGAGCCATCTTTCCAGTCCATCAAGTAACAAATTTACTCCCCTCTTCCAGCACTAGAAATTGAACCCAGGACCTTACAAATAAATAACAGGCAAGCAATCTAACTACTGAGCTATACCCTCAACCCTAATTTTTCTTATTTCAAACTTTCAAACTATATTATGTATAATATGAAATTTGTTACACTAAGATCAGTTTGTCTTTCATTTGGTACTGTGAATTACCTTTTGTTGTTGCTTGAAACAGGATAGCACTATGTAGCCCAGGCTGTACTCAAACTCTTGGTCTTCCTACCTCAGCCTCCTGAGTGCTGAGATTGCAGGCACGTGTTGCTGCCTGGCTTGTCACTTATGCTTGAAATTTTAACTATAGTTTTATCAGTCTATGTACTTTATTGAAAAATTACTGTTTATGTGTATTATAAATTGCAAATCCAAAGTCTAAAATGGGAAAAGTTGTATCTTAGGTTAATATAAGTAAAGGAAGCAATAAGAACTTTTGTCCTAAATACTTTAAAATACTTTAAGGCTCTTACATTTCTAGTGTGTAAACTAAAACCAATTTCATTTCCCTGAAAATAAGAATAAAAATTTTTAACAGAATTGTAAAATGTAGAGAAAAAAATAATAAATCAGATCACATCAATGCAACACTCCTTGTAAAACTAATCAAAGCACCTACTGCTCTTAATTATGCACACATGGCATTCTCAAAACTAGGTGACATATGCTTTGACAAGTTTCAAAGTTTGAAGGAAATGGGGTTATTTACTGAGAAAATAAAATTTGTGAAAATTAGGTATAGTAACAAAATTTACCTGCTGTCTCATCTAATAAAAATCAAGCCAGGTGTAATGGCATACACCTATAATCCCAGCTCTCAGGAGTCTGAGGCAGGAGGATTGCAAATTTGAGGCCAGTATGGAATAATAAAGAATAAAACTTTGTCTCAAAAGAACAAAAAATTAAGTGACAATGTCAGCAGAATTTTGTGTCATAATTGACTATGATTTGTTTAGAGCTGACATAAATATTATGATTCTGAGAATTCTAGGTAATAGGTTTTTTATTTTTTACTTAATGTAGGAGATAATATAATTTCATTTCTTCAAAGTCTTAAGAGAGGTAACTTTTCTGAAAGCCTTGGTGAAATATCCTTTTCTGACAGATCTATCTTTAGTAATTTTTTTGGAGACAAGGTCTCCCTGTAGCCCCAAGTGGCCTGGAACTCGCTATGTAGACCAGACTGGCCTCAATCTCACAGAGTTAAATTAATTGTTATACAACTAAACACAAACTCAATAACATCAATTCACTTTTATTTATTTTTCACTCTAAGTCACTGACTTCAAAGTAGGAATGAAGTCATTTTAGTGCTGTTAAGGTCTTCTACAGAAGTAAGAATATGATTAAATTTATCATCAGTTAAAGTCTTTATTCAGAGGACTGGAAGGATCTTAGAGGGATAAAAAAGTCAAGGAACTAGGCTGGCTACAATGAAATAAAAACCCTCTTCATAGCCAGAGTTGGGATGTAGGTGGAGGCAGGGGCAGGCAGATCTCTTGTGAGTTCCAAGCCAGCCTGGTGTCCTACAGTGAGATTTAGTCTCAAGAAACAAAAACAAGCAAAACGCCACCACCACCACAACAAAAAAAAAAGTCCTGTTCATATACTGAGTGTATGTTGGATCTAAGAATAGTCATTTCTGTCCCATGCACTAAAAGGGATTTCTATGTAAACTGATCTTCCTGGATAAACAGGCTGTTAGGAAGAGTGCTTCTCAACCCTGGAAGCACATCAGAATTTCCTGTCCAATACTGTCTCTGAGTCTGAACAGGAGTGGACAGGGGAGCTGGGTATGCACACTCTAAAAACTATTTCCAAGGCTTCTACCATGTTTAAGAATGATTGCTCTAGTTTTTTTGTTTTGTTTTGTTTTTTCATTGTTTGTATGTTGCTTTCTTTTTCTGCCTCTAATTGAAAGACTCTTAGTAAAAGGAACAAGTGCTTATGATTGATTCATTCTTAATATTAAAGTAGCCACCAAGCACTACAATGAAAGTAACCAAAACGTTCTTTAAAGGGAATGAATTTTTTTTATGTAGAACAAATTGCTCTTTTTCAAATCAGTAGAACATAGTTGGGTGATAAATTTGAGCAAATCATTTCCCATCTTGGGACTTGCTTTCATTTCTCTAGAATAAGAAATAAATTACCATGTAATGACTTCAATCATTTTTTACAATTTATTCTTTTTAACGTAAGTGTGATTTGTTTCTCTAATTTAAAATCCTTAGTGACTATTTTTCTGACTTTTTTGGCATTATGGTATTCTTATTCAACCTCTCACTAGGTGATTTTGAAATTTTAATTAAAATTCTTTGATGCCTTTTGCTAGTATCTCTAGATTTTGAGGTACTAATTTTCATAATTCTTAACTTTAGTTTTATGTTACAAAACTAAGGAGATGTTCTTCAATTTTTTCTTAACAGAACACTAATGTGGTATGTCATATTTTTATTACTCTTAAGGAGTTTATACTGTAGGATAGTGTAGTTTAGGTGAATAATTAAGATAGACTCACAGATGTGTGTATATTATATTAATGAAGTGTGTTTTGTTTTTTGTTCAAAACTGAAACTGAGTTTTCCTTCAAAAGTGAAGGAAACCTGGATCTAGATCCTCCATGCTTTCCCTGAATCTTCCCCTCCACCTAACCCCAACACTAAAGTCAGTCTTGCCTGAGTGATATTAAGATGATTCATGTCATTTTAAACACTTGAATTCTTTAAATTAAAGCATACCTCTGAGTGGCATTTAGCAATTTTAACAGTGTCCAGCATCAAATATTTTAAGAGAGGAAAGAGCAGTAACACATCCAGTGGAGACTGATGGCATTTCAGGAGGCAGAAGGTAATTAGAATGTTTTAAGTTTGACTATCTGGTGTTATTTAGCCTTGGTACCCTGGAACCTGAACTGAGTAACACTCAGGTGGTTCATGACAACTGGCTTGGAGAGCTGGATCAAGGCAGTAACTACCAGTTGGTTGCTTCACCATACGGCAAGGCTATGAAGGGGAGGATGGCACCAGAAATCATTGTAGGATAAACAAAAAGGAACCTAGTCATGCCCTGACAGACAGGTAGAGCTTTTTACGTTCACAGCACTGCCACACACATATTTCTAAGGATAAAGGAGGTCCTATAAAACCCATTTGCTACACTGGGTGTGGTGGCACATGCCTTTAATCCCAGTACTGAGGAGGCAAAGGCAAGAGGATCTATGTGAGATTGAGGCCAGCTGGGTCCACATAATGAGTTCCAGGTGGGCTGGGGCTACAGGAGCCCCTGTCTCCAAAATAAGTTAAAAATTTAAAATTTAAAAACCATCTGCTTATAGAGTGCTTACCTAAGCATGCTCACAGCCCTGGGTACCATCCCAAGCACCACACAAACCAGATGAGGTAGCATACATCTGCAATTCAAGCACTTGAGAGGTAGAGGCGGGTGAATGAGGAATTCAAGGTGACTCAACTACATAGTGAGTTTTAGGTCATCAGGGGCTACATGAGGTCCTACCCACCCTACGAACCCTCCAAAAGCCACAAAAAACCTTTTGCCACTATCTAGTTGAAACTGCAAGTGCAGTGCTTAGGAAGCAGAAAAGACTACCAAGGATATCAAAAATGTATGTGCCTGTGAATTCAAGTGTTCAGAGACTAGAAGTGGGCTTCAGATTCCCTGAGCTGGAGTTGCAGGTGACTGTGAGCCAGCTGAAGTGGGAAATGGGAACCAAGCTCTGCTGGGGTAGTGTGCTCTCTTAACCACTGGGCCACCTCTTCAGCCCCTCAAATATTTCACTTATAATAAAGGTATCCTCTGTGTCCTCTCAGACAAATAAAGAACTTCCCTTTCTCTTACGATAAATTCTCACTTATTTTCATTATGCCACTTACAGCTGTGTTTCTAGGTAGTTAGCTGTGTAATTGGTACTGCTGTTTGCAAGCCTATTTGCTCTGTTTGTAATTCCCTTTTAATTTTATTTTTATATGTTATGAGTGTATTGCCTGCATGTATGTAAGTGCACCCATGTCGTGCAGTGCCCACAAAGGTCAGAGAGGGTGTTGGATTCTCCTGGAACTGTAGTTATGGACAGGTGCTAGCTGCCTTGTGGGTGCTGGGAATTGAACCTGGGTTCTCTGCAAAGGCAGCCAGCACTCTTAACCTCCGAGCCAGCTCTCCAGCCCTGTAACTCTTTTTAAACTCTCACTGAAGTTCTTTTCAGTGAAGTTGCACAGTTGTAATTTGCCTGATCATAATCCAAGGTGGAATTTCTGAGTGGATGTTTATTCCATTACGGACATAGAAAATATCTTTGGGGAAAATATCTTTTCCCATTTAAATAAAATTGGACTAAAATAGGGCAAAGCCCGTGGCTATACAAATTTCTTGGTGTAAGAGATTAGTATTAAAGGCACTCTTTTGAAGTGGTCTCTTTTTCTTTATTTGTGAAACCCAACAATACTATTTTATCTCTTTTCTTGACAAATAATAATAACATATTTATGGTGTCTGACATGTTTTCTAATATGAACACATAATATTAACATATCTATTGATGCACATTTTATGTGGTAAAAAGATTAAAAACCTACTCAGCATTTTTAAAAATGCAATATATTATCAGTTTTATTCACATTGTAATCTGAACTTAATCTTTGTCTGACTGAAAGTTCATGCCCTCTGACTGACATCCTAAGTCCAGAGAGTTGAGTTCACTTTGTCAGATTCTTAACTCTCAAGCCACTTGGTTTCTAAAATATGAAAAAGTTGTAACTTAGGTTTTTTTTAAGCTTATACATGTTGAAATAATTATCTGTATTCATTTTCAGAAATACTTGCTAATTTTGCTGGAGTAAAACAGAATGATGTTCCTCCAGAAGATAATATAAAGGTAAGTTAATCTGTAATCTCATAATTTAAAACAGTATATATGCTATAACTCACTGGCATACTAGTAACTGTCTCTAAAATGTTTTATTGGGGAATAGTACATATATAATCTCAGCATCTGGGAGGCAGAGGAAGGAAGATGACAGGTTTAGGGTTAGCCTCGGTTACACAATAAGAGTCTCAAAAAGAAATAAATATCACATATTTTTATTTTATTTACATAAAGTCACTGCATTCAACTCATCAACTAAGTAGTCAAAGATTTAGAAAATATTGGCAGCTGGGCTTGGTGGTGCACGCCTTTAATCCCAGCACTCGGGAGGCAGAGGCAGGCAGATCTCTGTGAGTTCAAGGCCAGCCTGGTCTACATAGTGAGTTCCAGGACAGCTGGAGCTACAGGGAGACCCTGTCTTAAAAAAAATGAAAAAAAAATATTGGCTACAGAAGTGATTTGACTTTTTCTGATAAGCTATAACTGTTCTGTAAGTCAAACAGATAAGTAAGGTCTAGAAGCCTCCTAGTCTTGATAATGTGAATACAAAGTAGGATGTGCAGAGTCCTGTGTGTACCATGAGGTGACATTTCCAAACAAAAGCTAAGAGAACAAACTACTTAGAATCTCAGGCTTTTACCAGGTTGCTTACTCAATCTTTTTACTTTTGGTTTCCTCATCTGTGAGGCAGAAATCACTATCTCTCATAGGTCTGTGAGACTTCTGTAATATATATTCAAAAGGTATCATTGAATCATTGCTGATTTGTTGCTTGTATTTCTAGTCTCTTAGTTATGTCTCTTATGTGGTTAAAACTCGGAAAGGCACCTTTATTTCTCATTCTTTAGCAGATACCATCTTCTGTGCAAGACATAGCCTCTGTAGAACCTTCCTTCATTCAGCAGATTGCATCACCATGCACAGCAGCAGCCAGTCACCCCCAGCCCTCCCTGGGCTACCTTGCATCTGAATACATGTTGTGTGTGGAGAATGGTACACCTACGCAGACTCAGCCTCCTTCAGGTAAGACATTCATAAGTACAGAGCTGTGACTAAGAAACGCCCGAGTCCATGTGTGAGATACTTAGAGAAGAGTGAAGGTATGGCAGTTTTAGGCCAAAGCTTGTTACTAATACCAACACATTTGAGCCTTTTAATTTTGTATGTAACATGGAACTTTGAACAAGACTTTAGAGGTTGACCACTTACCTAGCATACATGAGGCCTGAGGTCAACACGCACCACTGAAAAAGAAAATAGACAATAAAGATTTGATGAAGGAGATAGTTGCTACTTACTAAATAGAGAGTAGATTAAGATGAGGATGCCCTGATTAGTTTGTAAGGAAGCTGGGTGTTGCAGTTGTAGTCTAGGACAGAAGGTACTGCAACAAAACTTGTTGTGCCCAGTTCACAAGACCCCAAAGACCACCAAGGAGCTGACTGATGCAAACACACAAGGGTTTTTTATTTTTACAAGCTTAAGCTTGGGCCCACCCTGTCACCGACCCAGCAGATCTCAGATATGAGACCCCTTGCTTTGGGAGACAGAGGTTTTTATAGGTTTATTTCAGCAAGTTCAGCAAGTAGGGGAGTAGGGGGTCTCCAGACTGGCAAGAATCTGGTTGCAGCCCAGTGCCAAACCATAAACTGCTGGCTTCAGGAAATCTGAAAAGACATCTGGACTTTTAGTACTTTCCTGTCCCTGGTTAATTGACTGTTAGCAGGGGAGTTGTTCTCTATCCGTTCCAAGAATACTTTTGTGTGTGCATGTGTGTGTGTGTGTGTGTGTGTGTGTGTGTGTGTGTGAACAGGGCCCAGGGCTGGGTCAGTCCTATGGAGGTTTTATCCAAGATGGAGTCACTCAGGTCTCTCATTCCCCCCTCTGACTAGTACCTTGGGGGCCCAATCATGGGTTCTCCCTCATCTCATGTTCTTCATCACCCAGACTCTGGAGGGACTGATAGTGGGTTCGCATCACCATTAGCTGTATAGCTCCCAGCCACTCTTTTATAAAAGCTACCAATTTATTTAAAATGCAAGGCCCAAAAGTCAAGAGCATAATCAGAATGAGGAGGGGTCTGAGTAAGGTTGAAATCAAAGTGGTCAACCAAGGGGAGCTATTGAACCAGGATTCAAACCATCCTTGTTTAGCTCTATATTCATTCTCTCTTCGAGCCAGACTTTCTCTAACCTTGTCCAGGGATTCTTTGATGACCCCAGAATGATCTACATAAAAACAACACTCTTCCTTAAGGGCAGCAAAGAGGCCTCCCTGCTGCAAGAACCACAGGTCTAGGCCTCTCCTATTCTGAAGAACCATTTCTGCCAAGGAGGTTACGGATAATGGGAGGGGGCATTCCAAACATGATCTCAAAGGGGGTTAATCCCATCTGGTAAGGGGAGTTATGCACTCGATAGAGTGCAAATGGAAGGAGAGTCACCCAGTCACCACCAGTCTTTAAGGTCAATTTAGTTAAGGTCTCTTTCAGAGTTCTATTCATTCTCTCTACCTGTCCTGAACTCTGGGGTCTATAAGCACAATGTCATTTCCAATCAATCCCCAGAACTGTGGCCAGACTCTGACTTACCTTGGACACAAAAGCCGGTCCATTATCTGACCCTATCATCTGTGGAAAGCTGTACCTAGGGAGGATGTCTTCCAACAGTTTCTTTGCCACCATTTGAGCCGTTTCATGTTTAGTAAGGAAGGCTTCAGTCCATCCCCAAAAAGTATCTACAAAGACTAGCAAATAACAGTATCCATACCTGCCAGGTTTTACCTCAGTGAAATCTGTTTTCCAATAGGCTCCAGGTTTTCCCCCTCGATTTCTGGGTTTCTAATATTTGGCACCACATTAGTGAGTTGGAAAGCTTTACAGCCATTGACTTCGGCATGTTGAATTAAGTCCTGCATTCTCTTGATGTACTTCAGCATCAGATAACAGGGTATCTCTCAGATCTGATCAGGTACCGTGGACATGGGCCAGGATTCTGGCATAATCATGCAGGGGGGCATCCAAGTCTGGGTCCGGCAAGAGTGTGGCTGGATTCAGGGCAACTGGTACCTGGATTAAGAAGTAATGCCTGATAATGAGTTATACGGGCGTTACTTAGCCATCTGTCCGGGGGATGCTTTAAAACTCCTTCAATTGCATGTGGTGTAGTGATTGTCGAGTTCTGGCCCAAAGTTAGTTTGTAAGCATCTTTTACCAGTAGTGCTTCTTTGAGTATATAGCCCAAGTATTGGACCTGTTGTTTGCATAGTTGGGCCTTTTTAGCAGAGGCCCGATAGCCCAGGCTTCCCAACGTCTGCAACAGGCATTCTGTGCTGTCCATGCAAGCCTCTTGGCTGTCTGCTGCCACAAGTAGGTCATCCACATACTCCAAGAGACTCCCTTCCCCAACGCTATCTGTCTCAGATGCCTCTGCCAGTCTTCTGGATCCGCAGTGGCAGCCAGCAGGATCCTTGCCAGGTCCTTGTTCTGCCTGCTGGTCCTCTGGATCCGCAGTGGCAGCCAGCAGGATCCTTCCTAGGTCCTTGTTATGCCTTCTTTCTGCCTTTATCTGTTTTTTCCTTTGCACTATCCCTATTATTGTACACTTTCTCAGCCACAGTTATTAAATCCTGTAAGCTCTTTTACCCAGTCTCTCTACTCTTTGGAGCTTTTTTATATTCGGAGGTGACTGGTTAACAAAAGCCATGGCCATTGCTGCTATATTATCTTTGGCCTCTGGGGCTAATGGAGTGTACCTGCGGAAGGCATCTGTTATTCGCTCCAAGAATGCAGCTGACTCCAAGAACACAGTAGGGCTTTCATTTAGTTCCTGACTAATATCGTATACCTTTACCAAATTAGTTGGCCTACGAGCAGCCGCTTTGAGACCTGTCAACAGAGCCTGGCAGTAAACCAGAAGCCTCCCCTTACCTTCTGCAGTATTATAATCCCAATCAGGCCGGGTCAGTGGATAGGCAGCATCAATCAGTGTCGGGTCAGTAGTAGGGACACCAGTATTGCCAGGAATTAATTTCCTGTCTTCTGTTTGGGTATGTTCTCTTTCCTCTGTGGTAAACAGGACCTGTAATAATTGATGACAATCATCCCAAGTGGGTTGGTGTGTGAATAAGACAGTTTCTAATAAATTAATAAGCTCCTTAGGATTTTCAGAAAAGGGAGCATTCTGGGTTCTCCAGTTGTAAAGGTCACTAGGGGCAATGGCCAATAGTGATGGGGCTCGTTTCCAGCCTCATCCATGGGGCCAGCGACTCTGAGGGGTAGAACAGTAGAGTCTGGACCCTCCGGTGTTGCTGCCCTTCTACTCCTAGCCCCCTGAGCCAGTCCCCCCATGCCTGTGAAGAATCTGGTACCGGGGTGCCAGTTCCGGAGAGGGTAACCCTGTGGAGGAGGTGGATGAGGAGGGGGAGGAAAAATTAGATTTTCTTCTGTGCTGCCCTGTAAGACAGGGTACAGTGATGGTACTGATGGTTTGGTTTCAGGTTTAGGTATTTTCTGGGTTGTTGTTTTCCATTCTGCAGCTGTCAGCACCTCAGTTTTCTGTAAAGGAAGAAAAGACTTGACCCAAGGAGGGGGGCTATTAACTAAATCTCCCCAGACCACTATGGATGATATTTGATCCAAGTGTCCCACACGTGGTTAAAGAATAATTCTCTCAACTGTGTTAATGACAGCGGGATCAAAGGTCCCCTCCAAGGGCCATCCCACATTGAAAGTGGGCCATTCAGACCTGCAGAAAGTAGTTAGTTTATTCTTTCTGACAACAACAGAGAGGTTATGGGCTCAAGTCTTAACCTCTCCAAAATGTGCAACAACCAGGTCCAGGGGTATAGAGGGACTCTGTCCCATTGTGTCCATCTCAGTCACAGAGAAATAGACAGCCAAAGACAAAACAGAGCCAGAAAGACACACAGAAGGCCAAGTAGCAAATTCCCCCGCTCGTGTGGAAGAAAAACTGAAAGTAGGACAGCGGCGAACTGCCGCACCGCAGGAGTGACCCACCTTGTCCTTTCACAGAAATCAACAGAGTCCAGGGCCCTCCATCCCCTCTGCCAGGGTCTGGAACATCTTCCAGACCTCTGTGGTCACAGTCATCCAGCGTGTCCACTCCAACCATTCCTGACCACACTGTTCACAAGTTTGCCTCGAGGCTCAGAATAAAAACTAGGACAGACACAGACAGGCACAACTAGAAACAAACAGACACTTACTGGCCGGCCAGGAACCCTCCAGTTCGGGGATCCTGGGGGGAGGTCTTGGGGATCCCAGACGAGCCCCCAAGATGTTGTGCCACATTCACGAGACCCCAAAGACCACCAAGGAGCCAACTGATGCAAACACACAAAGGTTTTTTATTGTTACAAGCTTAAGCTTGGGCCCACTCTGTCACCGACCCAGCGGATCTCAGATGTGAGACCCCTTGCTTTGGGAGACAGAGGTTTTTATAGGTTTATTTCAGCAAGTAGGGGAGTAGGGGGTCTCCAGCCTGGAAAGCATCTGATTGGTTGCAGCCCAGTGCCAAACCATAAACTGCTGGCTTCAGGAAATCTGAAAAGATATTTGGACTTTTAGTACTTTCCTGTCCCTGGTTAATTGACCATTAGCAGGGCAGTTGTTCTCTATCCATTTCAAGTATACTTTTTTTTTTTTGTGGTTTTTCCTGGAACAGGGCTCAGGGCTGGGTCAGTTCCATGGAGGTTTTATCTAAGATGGAGTAACTCAGATCTCTCAAACTAATGCAGTGAGCATGAAAAGGAGGTGAATTCAATATTTTTGTAACAGAATTTACAGACTTTGGTAGAATGATTAACATGTCGGGAGATTAATGGTTTGATGGGAAGTCAGAGGTAGAGCTTGTTTGCAACATGTGTGAGATGATATAGAATATCTAACTGGAAATATAAACAGAAATGGGTATTTGGAACTAACAGAAGTCACAGCAAATGTAATTTAGGCATCACGATAAATAATTAAATATAAATGGATGTAATTTAGGAAGATCCTCAGA